ATGCAACACGTAAAAAGACAGTACAAGTCATTATATTACGTAATTATGTCCCCATTGGATGCAACAAATGCCTCGTTTATAATGGGTTTTAATGTTTTTGTCTCGTCGCTCCAGCCGGACAGGGCATCACAATATGGTAAGGGGCGTAACATTTCCGTCACAGGCTTGAGGTATTTGGCCAATCACAATGCACTGGATAGCTGGCCAATCAGAGCACACCTCGCTTTTCAGACCGATGAGCTTTGTAAAAATCGACTCGTTTCAGAAAGGCGGGGCATAGAGGGGAAACCATAATGTACAGTATGTGGAAAATAATGTGTTTTTTGAACCTTAAACCGCATAAACACATTTCATTACACCAAATACACAAAATAATGTTATTTTTAGCAGCATCATATGACCCCTTTAACGGCATCACAGTATGGTAGGGGCGTAACATTTCCGTCACACGCTTGAGGTATTTGGCCAATCATAATGCACTGGATAGCTGGCCAATCAGAGCACACCTCGCTTTTCAGACCGATGAGCTTTGTAAAAATCGACTCGTTTCAGAAAGGCGGGGCATAGAGGGGAAACCATAATGTACAGTATGTGGAAAATAATGTGTTTTTTGAACCTTAAACCGCATAAACACATTTCATTACACCAAATACACAAAATAATGTTATTTTTAGCAGCATCATATGACCCCTTTAACTAACATTGATAACATTAATAACACTGCTAAAATATTGTTTGATGTTAGTCAGAGCATGTGAGCGGAGTGGAGTGGTAATATTTCCTTAAGAGCGCAGAGCGCCTTTCTGAAGATTTGTTCATTCCCTAGTTTTAGTAGGCCTAAATCGTGGAACGAATTATTATATTTCGTAATTACTTATTAAAATCATTATTACTTAAAATTAATAAATAATAATAAATTAATTTAAAAAAGAATAAAACCTGCTGACATCATAGAAACGAATTGTTAATTTGAATTATATTCGGAGCTCCGTAGTTATTAAATTATATCAGTTAAACTGTAGACCTAAGCTAACACACGGCTGTATATAGGCCTAAATACAGAACTACAGAGTACAGAAGATATTAGCCTACACCACTTGGATTTTGGAAAACCAGTGCTGGATCCCTCCCGCAAAATCTTCAGCATCCCCAGTGGTTCTTCCAGCGCTGAGCGAGTGTTTTTGGGCACAGCGAATGCTGAAGCCTGACACTTTGTCCAAGCTAATGTTTCTTAAAGTAAATTCTAAAATCCAGTAAACATCAAGAGACGTTTTAATAGACCACAGTTCCCCGCAGTTATGGTTTATTTTAACTTGACACTAGAAAGTGTGTTTCTTTCATTGACGTCAGTTCATAAACCAAGCGTTCTTTAAGTGCATTTTATCTTGCGTGTGCTTTTCACAGGCTTTATAATCCAGGTGTATTTTGTAAAGATCTACACACATTTCATCTCGTGTGTGTGTGTGCGTTTGTGTTTTAATGAGCCTGTTTTGAATGTTCTATTGCACAACAACTGCAGCTATTTTCACGGAAATAAAGTTAACGAAAATCAAATACACTTTTTCAGTTTTTGTATTTTAGGTAGGTTTGCTAAGGTTAGATTCGTATATTTAATACAATTTAATTAATACATTACAATTAATAAAATCAAGAAGAATGTAAGAATTTCTCTCTGAAACATGATAATTGCTATTTATCAGCATGCTTAATTTTAGACAATAATCCAAGAATTTCGTTACAAACAGTAAACAATTAGGCCTACTAGAGTAATTTTATGTCGGAGCGGGATCTGAGCGGGAATTGGTTCACGGTGAGCATGAGCGGAATATTAACGGAGCGCTTGCTTGTGCGGTTAGAGCGACTGAGCGGAGCGCACGTCCATAGAGCGGAAAACGTAGCGGAGTGTCACACCGCTCCGCTTCGCTCACATGCTCTGATGTTAGTTCATGTTAGCTCATGCATACAATGATGTAAACAAATACATTTTTATTATTATTATTATTAGTAGTAGTAGTTGTAAAGGGTAACCACTACTTCAGCATTTCAAATGCTGACTCCAACACAAGATTTATTTAATTATAATCAGCATCTAGACATGCAGAGACATGTTCAACATACAAAAGACAACAATTACACAACATTCACAGATAAATACTAAATTGTAAAAATTACAAAACAAACTGATAACAGTGAACAATGATCAATAATTCATTAACTCAGCTTGTTTTGTTCCTGGAAGAATCTGTGTTTTTAAACAAATCAGTTGAGTGAATGATGAAATGAGTAACGCATATAAAGACAGTCACGTGTCGCCACCTAATGGTTCGTTGATGTAGCATGCTGAAATAGTTTAAAATCCTCCCCATTAACACAGAGAATGACAGTCTGACTGGAACAAACACAGACAAGCGGAGTGAATCAAATAGTCAAAAGCTCCAATGCTGCTGGACTGTTATATCATACTAAAGCTAAAACTAACATTTGAATTATGGACAACGTTATTTTTTTAAGGTGGGGCTTAGTAAAGGAACAATTTGCAATTCAAAGAACATGTATGCTTTTTACAGTAACAGTGATGATTGGTGACTTTGCATTGCAAGTTAACCATGAAAATGATTAAATATTGATAAATTACTGATTAATGTTGACCCCCAAATGTGATTGTGTAACTTTTCTATTATATTCCTTCTGTTATATTGTCTGTCTCCTTACCCTGGGGATGATGGCAATCTCCCTTTCTTTCACAGTGAACCTATTCTTCTTTTAAATGACTTTTCAGACATTTTCAGAAGCAAAAAGGTTAGATTCAGCCCCTTTGATGAAGAGAAACCCAAATAAGTCATCACTTTAATGTTCCTCTCACTTATTACGTACAATTATGCACCACACATTTTACTTATTTGCACAAAGCCCGTTCTTTCTGTTCATAAAATCAAATCTAGCTTGTTGAAATCATGGAAAATAAGCCAATTAGAATCATGGTTCACAAAGGATGAGACATGATAGGTTCAATTTAAAAAGGGCATCATCTAACAAGCATTAATTGCAGTGCCTTTATTAACAACGCCCAGGGCAGACAACTTAAAAGCGGTTTGCCGTCCATTTATATAACGATAAAATGTAATGTATTATTCATGAGGCCAAATGGAAATGAACATTATCTGACCAGGATATTATTTACTAGTTTTATTTTAGTAGCCTTGAGGACTAAATAAAATATCTGTATATTTCTGTATACAGGACAGATTATAGAATAAGTATGTGGATAGATGTCATGAAATGCTTTCAAAAAGATGTCCTGTGGTGTGACATACATCTTTATGTCTTTTATAATATTTTTACATACTCATCCATTTGTCTCACTACAGGACAGTTTACAATGAATGCATTTGGAAATTATAACTAATTAAAAAACAAATTAAAAAACATTAAAATCACGTTCATTGTACAAATACGTAATTTTTACCTACAAGCGTGTTTTGATGAAAAAAAGATTACTAAATAAATAAATAAACAAATAAATAAGTGATGTCATGTTTCAACTACATACAGTAAGTACAAATACTGTTTTTCCATAGTAAGCTCATATATGCTCCAAAGTTTCATTGTTTTAAATAGCTGTCCATATGCTCCGTCTTCGTTAATCTAATCAGTCTTCTTCAGAATGTATTTCGATCACATTGTGCAATGATTAAATGGCTACACCACTGAGAATTTTCCCAACCTGTTATTTTCAATATGAATATAAACTGTTGGACATATGCTTATTGTTTATTGCCTCCAGATGGCTTGAGATTGTACATCACCGATGTCCCCATCCAACCATCGTCTGTTTCGCTTAGTGTAGGAAGAGAAAAGCAGTTACAGTCATGTCTCAAATGGATAGCTTGTCCCTAAATACAATGAGTTCATGTATAATTGATTGGTGAAGAGCAGTTTAAATGGTCCCAGCTTCAGAATGGATTCAGCCTGTCGATTTTTATCTCATAATCATTCACAAACATAAACTTCTTTCTGCAGGGCAAATTAAGAGAGGAGGTTGTATTTCAAAATGACTGATTATTCCCCCATTTTTAATTCCACTTCCTTATATTTAAAATTCTAAGTATACATCTGCAATGAGTTTGCCACCTTGACACCCATTTAGAAATTGAAGCAAAATATAAGAGGCATCGCACAAACAGTGCTCAACCCTTGCATAACCCAGCCCACAATTTACACAAGACATCCATTGTTGCTTTCCTGTCCATATCTGTCTCATTCAACCATCTATATCTCTTTCTCAGCTCAGTCTTGTACTCATTGATCCCCAACTGCCGTCTCAGCAGTCTATAGACACTGAACTCCTTCACTAATCATTGGCCACAAGGATCCATAAGGCCTAATTGTTGCTTTCCTGATGTACTCTCGTTTTAGATAGATACCTAGTAACTTTGCTACATCATGAATGTTCTTCAGTCCTCCCTATTGTCAGTCACATCAGAAATTGGATTGCACAAAGAGATCAAAATCACTCCCCACATTCAGCTGAGAGCGTCAAACTCTCTAAACCGAGCTCTGCAAGGGTTTCAGGGTATAAGGCACCTTACACGAGTGCAATGTTCTGCACAAACCACATAATGACAAATGGAGGACAGAGGGAAGGTGAAAATAAAGCGACTGAACCATAAGGAGGTTACGAGGGTAGAAAGAAGCATGACAGTTGGGGAGAGATCGAACACAGAACTTTAAATTGGCTCAAGGGGAGAAGAAAGTTGGGATGAATTCGCTGGAAATCTTCTTTAAAAAAAAAAAGAGAGATAGTAGGACTGCCATAGATAAGGGTGTCTCGTCACAAGCTTCCTTTTGTTCCATTTGTTCTTCTTTTGGCGAGATCAAAACAGAGTTTATTTAGTGTGTATATATGTGTGGCGTACAAGATGAGAAAACACGGGCAAGGGATTTACAGGAACCGTTCTGCTGATGTGCTGATAAGAGGATTGTGTGAAGAACTGCTCAAGCATTCATACAAGCCAAACCGCAAAAGATAAGAGCAGAAAACTGGAAGGGGAGACAGAAAGAAAACAAACAAAACAAAACAGGTAAAGGCATTTAATATACTTGCTACAGAAACACTGTTGTTATGACAGAAAAATAACACACAATGACCAAGTGTTGTCACGGTAGCAACATTTCAATATTCAGTACCAATACCAGTGAAAATCCACGGATCTCGGTACCAATTTCGGTACCAAAGCAAAACACAAAAACATGCTAATAAAAAATCTGACTATACTTTCATTTAATCCAAACTGTGTACATATTTAATTTTAAAGGAGTTTTGAAAACCTTCTAGAGTTATTCAGCCAAGAATAAAAACCAAAAAAAAAAAAAGCCCAGAACTGCTTTTCTGACTGATATGACACAAGCAATGTTAACCATTTGTACATTCTCTAACACGTATATTTTAGATTCACAATTAATTTAAAAGCCTCTGGTGTGTAAAAATAGTAAATATCATCATGTCCTCCTATTTTTTTTAACCTAATAAAAGTTATAGGAGCACTAAATAGTTAATAGAGAAACGTAATTATAATGCTCATTATATTTACGCTTATGCTAACGATTAACTACTCAAATAACAGCGTTCATTTCAATCCGACATTCAAATTAAAATATTGAATAATATTCATAACAGAAGCAGTGTTTTCCACATACTTGCACTCTATTTGTGGCGGCATATATATGCAAATTAATTATCTGCCAGCAGGAGGCGCTTGTAGAGCGGAAGAGATAGAGGTTTCCCCAGTAACGGCTGTAATGCTGCTCAAGCATTACAGGCAAGATGAAATTAAAATGACATCCATAATTTTCTGAAGACAGTCAGTTTCCTTCAGAAATACAGTGATATAAAAACACTCGCACCGGGTTTCGACTTTGACATGTGCAGTGCTCATGTTTATTCAACAAAGTCAAAGCCTTTTGAAAAATCTATTTGTGGCGGTCAGTTTTGATATTGTGCCGGCATCCTCATGGTTTCTCAACAGCGGGGTTTCTCAAACTGGGGTTCAGGAATTGATTAAAATCAAACTTAAATTTATAAATGCAGCTGTGTGGTAATCGCTGTATAGCTTAGTGTGATTATCAAATCAAATGCTGTGACTTAATTGCATACCTAGTTTGATTCGCCGCGTGTCTCAGAGTGAAGCATCTGCGTGGCACTGTGTTAATTTACACGGGAGCAGCTCATTATTCTGTGTTTTCAACCTCTCACAGCAGCTCAGTTCATAGTAAATGCTGTAAACTCCATCTCTGTGCAGGATGTGAGTTACATTTGGTAATGCAACATGGCCTTGTTTTATTTTATTTACACATTCGCATGACTTCCTGCATTTTTGTGGGCAGAAAGTTACAGCATCTCCCCAGTATTCTGCCAAAATAAAAGCTAGAGGATTTGTTTGAATGTGAAGGATTTAAGAAATAAATATTGGTATATTTCTGTCTTCATTGTTATTAATCAGAGTTATAATCTACTACTACTACTAATCAGTTTGATTAGGTTCCTAACAAAAGTGTGAATGAAGGTAGAATAAGTATAAGTGTATTAGTATATTAGTATACCACTGAAAAATATCCAAAATAAAGTCAAAACTGCATTCCTTATTTTTAAGTTTTATTGCTGCATGAGTACAGACAGCGTGAAGGGGAATGAACTCGCAATCCAAAAGCATGAGTAATACAAAACACACACACACACACACACACACACACACACAAACAAACAAACCAGTTTTTGATGATTTGTCTTAAGAGGGATGTGTTTTCTTCTTTGTTGAGGTGGTTGAGGATATTTGCATCTATAGACTTCTCCTTCAACAGAAGATGTAAGCAGAAATGGCCATGAACGTCCTCTTGCTTTTCATGTGAGATGTTTGCACTGAAAACTTGTTTGATTGCGTAGTCCTCTTTTCTCTTTATAAGTATTGAGAAAATGGAAAATAATTGCATTAGGATGTTGCAGATCTCAACTCTATAGGTCAAGTGATCGAATGTATTGATCTGTTGTTTAACATCCATTAGAACAAAGAAAAGTTTTTTTAATAAGATGTAGGACCATGGCCACATCAGTCTATTGATGAATGAGTACTTACTATAATTATCACACAGCAGTTGCATAAAAATTGTGCAAGAAATTTATAATTTTGCTTGTAACAAATCATCCTAACTGACTGACTAAGACTTGTATTTTAATTCATTCAAGACATGTTTTAATTTTGTATTTAAAAATGAAAATAAATGGTTAGGTCAGACTTAAATGATGATACGTTTAAGCTTTTTTTATTTTATTTTTTTCCCTTATGTGATACATCAATTAGTTTATTTCAAGTAAAAGTGACCTATGTGATACTTTGCATATTTCCTTGTGTTCATATGCATAATTAAAGTAAACCATTAGCAGGTTGATCCCCCTGTTAAGTATAAACACAGTGCAAAATGCAAAGTATTATTTTTACTTGAATAAAGCCTGATGTTACCATCAACGTCTGTTTGCTTCTGTTGTGTTTTGAATGTGATTCAGCACATCTGATTTAGGAACAGGAGGAGAAGACGGACAAGTCAAAGGCAGCCAGACAGGCAGGCATTCACATGAAGAAGATTGGTCTTATTAGTTGGGGTCCTGGGGGGTTATTTGGCAGCAACCTCATTAAGGAGTTTAACTGTGTGGAGTCTGTCAGTGTTTGTATACACTGTCGCTGGTGTGAATGCCGTATTCTCTGTGTCATCTGTAATGACAGCCTGTAGCAGCGGGCCTTAGTCACCAAACGAGTCCCAGCGCCTGCTCCACGTCTCAGAACGTAACAGCAGTGGGACTCTGTGAGAAACATGTTGTTAGCTTTCTTTTCTCTCTGATTTATTCTCTTCTGGTCTTACAGTACACCACTACTGTGCAGCTAGAGCGCCTGCCGGCATGTCAACCCAATACAGATCAGTGAAGGTGCACTGCAAACAATCAGTATTTCAGTATTTTCCTGTTTTCCAGAATATATAGATTTACTTACTTAAGACACAAAGCTGTGTAAGAATGTATATGTAATTGCTTGTTTATTTATTTATTTAGTGTGCCATTTTGCAAATGGTTGTGTCTTTTTGAATGATGGATGTCTTTGACCGTTGCACTTCATCTAACACTATAGTGCCATGTTTTGTTTTCCCTTTTCTTCTTTTTAAAAAGGTGTCCTGTCAAGTTAAAAGCACTTAAAATGCAAAAATGCAACTGCAATACATCAACATTTGTAAGATTAAATCACTCAAAACAGTCACCTTGTGTCTCTAGATGACGATCATCGTGTCAGGACTGCTTCCAACATATCAACAAAGACACGAAAGGTTCAGTAGACATTTAGCTTTAAACGAATGGTTATTGTCATGGTGTAAAGAAGAGAAACTGCTCTTTGTTAATAATTGGAATATTTTCTTGGAGAGACCAAGGCTTTTTTGCGCTGATAGCCTGCACCCCAGCAGAGTCGGAGTGGAACTCCTGTCGGACAACATCTCCAGGACGCTACGCTCCATATGACTAGTAAGCCAATTTTCAAATAACTGCTATGATGTCTTTTGTTCTACCCACTTAAATGATAGAAGTACTTGTGCTGTCCAATCTATAAAGACTGTGTCTGTTGCCCGAATAGTGAGGTCAAAATATAAATTTAATGCAGGCTTGCGATTAAACCAGAAAAATGCATAATAAATAGACAAAAAAGTTTTTTAAAGTTTGAGCTCCTAAACATTAGATCACTCGCACTCAGTGCAGTTATTGTAAATGAAATGATCACAGATAATAGTTTTGCTGTACTCTGCTTGACTGAAACCTGGCTCAAACTAAATGATTATATTGGTCTAAATGAGTCTACTCCACCAAGCTACTGTTATAAGCATGAGCCCCGTCAGACTGGTCGTGGCGGCGGTGTTGCAATAATATATAGTGGTATTTTAAATGTTACTCAGAAAACAGAATACAGGTTTAACTCATTTGAAATACTTATGCTTAATGTTACACTGTTGCCCCTTTCAAATTGAAAAAAGTTAGAGAAAAACGAGCTGCGCCATGGTACAACAGTAATACCCATTCTCTCAAGAAAGAAACTCATAATCTTGAGAAAAAATGGCAGAAATGGAGAAAAACTGACTTGGAAGTTTTTAGAATTGCGTGAAAAAACAGTATGTGCAGCTATAGACAAGCTCTAAAAGCTGTCAGGACTGACCATATCTGCAAACTCATAGAAACTAACCAAAACAATCCAAGGTTTTTATTTAGCACAGTGGTTAGATTAACAAATAACCAGACGCCACCTGATCTAAATATTCCCTTTACAGTTTAATAGTAACCCAGTCAACACGTGAGATCATGCGATGATCACAGTGACATCATACGATCCTCATACTGTGATCCTCACGGTGTGAGTAATAGGTGAAATCATTGTGAGTTCACACGATCCTCATACTGTGATCCTCACGGTGTGAGTAATAGGTGAAATCATTGTGAGTTCACACGATCCTCATACTGTGATCCTCACGGTGTGAGTACTATATGAAATCATTGTGAGTTCACACAATCCTCATACTGTGATCCTCACGGTGTGAGTACTATATGAAATCATTGTGAGTTCACACGATCCTCATACTGTGATCCTCACATTGTGAGTAATACATGAGCTCATTATGAACTCAAACGATCCTCACACTTCGATTCTCTCTGTGTGAGTAGTATATGAGCTCATTATGAACTCAAATGATCCTCGTACTCTGATCCTCACGGTGTGAGTAGTATGTGAGCTCATTGTGAGTTTCAAATTTTGAGCAGGTTGAGAGAAGGCAGTTCAAATATTAGTCACCGGGGATAAGATCATCTACATCTTGGTTAATATTACTAAAGGATTCACACCTACAGCACACATTACATCCATTGATGCAGAAATGCAGATATGTTCTACATGCCTAAAGTATATAGAGAGATAAACCTTATAAACTGCTTG